AAGAGTTGTTTTTAAATTTTGGGTACGAGGGTCGGCGTGAAATCGGCCACGAAGTCCGCTAAAATTTGAGACTTGATGGTCATACGAGGTTGATATTCGATATCGTACCCATTGAGTTCGACGACCCATTTGGCCAATCGACCTGATAGTTCGGGCTTGTGCAAAATATTTCGAAACGGGTAAGTGGTTAATACGCATATGGGGTGACATTGAAAGTGCGGTCTTAACTTTCTAGAGGCGCTTATCAGTACAAGTGTCAATTTTTTTAGGTTTGGATATCTAGTTTTTGTTTCTCCTAAGGTTCGACTTACATAATAAACGGAAAATTGCGTACCTTGCTCTTCTCGAACTAGGACACCACTTACCGCGATTTCCCATACTGTCAAGTACAAGCAAAGTTTTTTGTCTATTTTTGGAGTATGAAGCAGTGGTAGGCTTGATAGATAATTCTTTAATTCCTCTAATGCCTGTTGGCATTCCGGGGTCCAAGCAAAATCGTTCTTCTTTTTTAGTAGAGAGAAAAATCTGTGACTTCGATCTGACGACCTTGAAATGAATCGGCCTAAGGCAACAATCCGTCTCGTTAGCCTCTGTATGGCTTTTACACTGTCCACGATGGCGATGTCTTCGATTGCCTTGATTTTATCGGGGTTAATCTCGATCCCCCGATTTGATACCATAAAGCCGAGGAACTTGCCCGAACCGACCCCGAAAGCATATTTCTCGGGGTTGAGTTTCATGTTGTATTTCCTTAAAATTTCGAATGTTTCCTGCAAATGAGCCAAATGGTCCTCTGCGCGCAGGGACTTAACTAGCGTTTCATCAATATAAACCTCCATTGATTTACCTATTTGTTCCTCGAATATTTTATTTACTAGGCATTGGTAAGTAGCTCCTGCATTTTTTTAGCCCGAAGAGCATCACATTATAACAATATGTTCCATACTTGGTGACAAATGAAGTGTTTTTCTGGTCTTTCAGGTTCATTTGGATTTGATTATACATGGAATAGGCATCGAAAAATGTAAGTACCTCGTGGCCGTCCGTGGCATCGATCATGCGATCGATGTTGGGTAGCAGAAAAGAATCTTTATGGCATGCCTTGTTTAAATCCTTATAATCTACACACATTCTAAGTTTGTTCCCCTTTTTTAGGGACTACAACTACATTGGCTAACCATTCGGGATATTTCACCTCCCGAATGGACCCTATTTTGAGAAGTTTAGTTACCTCGTCCTTTATGAATGCGTGTTTTACCTCGTACTGGGGTCTTCTTTTCTGCTTCACCAGTTTGAACCTAGGGTCCTGTTTTAGCCGATGCGTCATTATATCTGGTGGGATCCCTGTTATATCTAAATGGGACCAAGAAAAACAATCTATGTTATCGATAATAAATTGAATAATCCTTTTCCTGAGTTTGGGGGTTAATCTCGTTCCCAGGTATACCTTTCGTTCGGGCAAACACTCGATTAGTATGACTTGCTCCAATTCTTCAATCATTGATTGGGTTGCGTCGGAATCATCAGGAATCACGCAGGATCAATGGATCCTTTGATCATCATCTTCACCGATCTTCTGATTTTTTGGTTGGGTTAAAGCTGATGTTTGTGATTGCTATTTGGCATCTCGTTCCCCTTTTGAGTCCGATCCTTTTATTGACGAAGGTGAGGATATCAGATTCGCTTCCTCGACGGCAAACATTTCTCTTGCGGCCGCTTGTTCTCCGTACACTGTTTTGACTCCCCTCGATGTTGGGAATGTAAGAACCTGGTGTAGGGTCAAAGGTACAACTCTCATGTTGTGGATCCATGGCCTTCCAAAAAGGGCGTTGTACCTCATGTATCCTTTGATTACATGGAACTTCGTTTCCTAGATAGTCCTGGCCACATTTATCGGTAGAATTATCTCGCCTTTGGTGGTTTCACATGCCATATTGAATCCGTTTAGAACTAGGGTTGCAGGTACGACCTGGTCCTGTAGACCGAGTTGTTCTACAACCTTCGATCTAATGATGTTGGCCGAGCTACCTGGATCAATTAACACACGCTTAACTTTAGTTTTATTCATAAGTACGGATATTACTAGTGCATCGTTATGAGGTTGTATGACTCCTTCTGTATCTTCATCATTGAAGGACAAAGTTTCTCTGGGTGTGTAATCCTGAGTTCAAGGTCATTTTTCTCTCATAATCGATATCTTAGTGCGTTTAAGCACCGGCCCTTGAGGGGTGTCGACACCGCCGATGATCATGTGGATGACGTGTTGTGGTTCTTCTTGTTCGTTGTGTTTGCCGAAATTCCTGTTTTTGAATGGTTCTTCGCCCTATCGCTTAAAAATTCTCGAAGGTGCCCTTTATTGAATAACTAGGCTACTTCCTCTCTTAGTTGCCTGCAATCTTCCGTTTTGTGGCCATGAGTGACATGATATTTGCATATTTGATTGGGATTCCTCTAGGCAGGATCGGTCTGCATGGTCGAGGCCATTTAGTGTCTTTGATACGTCTGATATCGGACACGATGGTGGATGCATCAATACTGAAGTTATACTCCGATAACCGTGGTGCTTCCTTAGATCTGGTAGGCCTGTCGAACCCACTTCTGTTCATCAGCCCCCGAGACCCTTGACCTCGATCACTTCTTTTATTGCTTTGTCCGAGGTTACGTCTTGATTCATTGATTCTGTGGTTTCTACTATACGGTCGGTATCGGTCCCTGATCGGACCTTGTTCTCGATTGATATCCCTTCGAGCAGCGGGTACAACCCCCAACTGATCATCTTTGACTCTAATTTTTGATTGGTACCGATTGTGCATGTCGGCCCAAGTGATAACTGTGTACTCGATCAGGTTATGCTTCAACCGTCGTGAAGCCATCGAACTTAGTTTGTTCAAACCTTGAGTGAAAGCCTGAACAACCCAATCGTCTGTGACTGGTGGAAGATCCATTCGTTCCATTTTAAAACGAGATACGAACTCCCTTAGCATCTCGTTATCCTTTTGTCTTACCTTGAACATGTCCGACTTCCTGGTCCTGACTTTTATGGCTTCGGCGTGTGCTTTTACAAAGGAATTTGCAAGCATAGCGAAAGAATCGATAGAATTAGATGGCAAATTATGATACCATATAATTGCTCCATTTGATAGGGTTTCACCGAATTTCTTCAATAATATGGATTCGATCTCATCATCCTCTCGATCGTTTCCTTCGATGGCACATGTGTATGAGGGGACATATTCGTTGGGGTCGGTAGTTCCGTTATATTTAGGAATCTCGGGCATGCGGAACTTCTTTGGGATCGGTTTAGGAGCCGCACTTGGGGGGAAAGGCTTTTGTATGAATTTTTTGGAATCTAAGCCCTTCAATATTGGTGGTGCCCCCAGGATCTGATCAACCCTGGAGTTGTATGTTTTCACCTTTTTATCGTTTGCTTCGATCCTCTTTTCTCCCGATTCTATTCGTTTTGTCAGTTCTTCGAACATCTTAGCAATTTCGGGATTAGTCCCCGACTCCTGCTCACTCGATTGTATTATAGCTGGTTCCGTTGCATGGGCGATTTCTCGGAGTTGACTGGGCTCCGGCCTGCTCGGTATCTGGGTTTGACTCTGCAACTGAGCTATCGCTGCCTGTTGAGCTTGCAACATTTCGAAAAGCATACGCAAGCTGACGCTGTTTTCCTCGACGTTATGGGTATCTCGAGCTGCAGATCGGGTGCCACCATGTATGTTATTTTCAGGTTCAGAATGCAGGTTCGCCTCAATGGCCACATGCGAATTGATGTCTATCGGCACTTCGATTTGAGCTCCAACGGCGTTGATAAGCGGCCTTTCGGTACTGGGTGTCAAATTGTTGTTCTCATCTTGAAGACCAACTTCGTTGTCGATAGGTAAGACCATTTAATTGATAGTTTAGTCGTTGCTAATCCGAAATCAAAGACACTTCCGGAAACAAGCGCAAAACGGCGTATTTTTGCAGATTCGTATCAAATAACCACTGTTATCCTTAGCCCCACGGTGAGCGTCAAACTCTTTATCCGAAAAACGGATAGAGTTAAATTTATACGTAGTTCTAAGGATACATGGTATAACTTAACACAAATCGTAAGGATAATTAGAAATTATCAAATACGGATTGTGAAGAATGGAAGATACACAAGGTTAGAAAGAAGATTATTGAAGGACTAAGCAAGATGAATCAATCTATGAAGCCAAAAAGAATAATCCTTCGATATAGGAGTGTATGATATCTCAGTTACAATGTATGCCAAAACTTGGTGCTTACAGAAATAATAACCATCCCCTTTATAGTAGAAGGGTCTTACTTTAAATATAATTAAAAATATATAGTGGGAGACCCATGATAAATCAACTTTTCCGTAATTCCTGTCAGGATTCTCTCTTCTAGTGGGATTGCAACGGCTCTTGTCTATGAGCTCGATATTGATTCGAGCTCTCGGTCTTGACTCGAGCTCTCGATCTTGACTCGAGCTCGATTCTGACTTGGATCCCTGTATTGATTCGGGGTCAGTATTGGTTGGTCTCTGCCTCATAAGCTCGATAATCTTCACTTTGCATCATAGTTCGACTTGGATTCGAGCTCGATAATGACATCGAGCTCGACATTGATCGGTCCCTTGGGCTCGAAGCTTGGTGATCTGACTTCGGAGCTCGACCTGATACTATGAAGACGCTTCTCCGATCCAATGTATTACCATTTAAACCAGTTCATACGAAGGACTAACGAGTTTTTACCGTATACAATGGTTAAACAAGTATAACATATACTTCGTATAACTCAATAGCCAGAATTTGACAAATGCAATTTACAAATCGCAATAGTGCGACTTACTTCATAAATCTCAGTTATAAATTATAATTGTAATATTAGCGACTTATATTCTCTTTGATTAAATTCGACTTATAAATTACATTGGCGACTCGCATTAGAAAATGCGACTTATAAATGGCGTTAGCCGACTTATAAATCACACTAACTTATAACTCTATTAGGCAATTGCGAGTTATAACTAGCATTTGCCAATTACTTCTTACGTGTTTGCTTTATGCCGCTTCTCGTGAGAGTCCCTTCCGATCCAAAACACTTTAGCGTAATATCGCAGCGACACCAGAGGGGGTAATATTCGAATTTTGTGTGTTTAAAAAGGAGGAGAAAAGAAAAGGTAGAGGCGTAGTGCGAAAACCAAATTGCAAAATGGATCCAGATGATGTGGCGACGGCATTCGTGAAGCACTACTACTCCACCTTCGACTCCAATCGGGTCGGGCTTTCTAACCTCTACCAAGAAGGCTCCATGTTAACCTTCGAAGGCGAGAAGCATCAGGGCTCTCAGAACATCGTCAACAAGCTGACCGGTCTCCCTTTTCAGCAGTGCAAGCACAATATCAGCACCGTCGATTCCCAGCCCTCTGGTCCCGGTGGCGCCATGCTTGTCTTTGTCAGCGGTAATCTCCAACTCCCTGGCGAACAGCATCCCCTCAAGTTCAGTCAGGTATTTTCACAAACACTTCCCCTACATGTTGTGTACTATAGTGTGCAATGTGCTTGCTTTCCCGGTTCATTTTCTGTTTACAGTAGTTTAACTCAGTTACATCGATGTGTTTGCACCCAAGCGTGTGGCCTTGTGATCAATGAAATGGGGAGAACCATGAGGTCTTAAGTTTGAATCCCAAGTCTAAAAGCACTAGGTTATTTCTTCCCATGTGTCCAAGCCTGGGTGGTAGCAGGTATAGTCAGGTGCACGCAAGCTAGCCTGGACATCGCTATCATAAAAAATAATTCGTGTGCGATGTGCTTGTTTTACCATTTCTATTAGATGTTATCTGTCGACGTGTTTTAAGTAGTTTACTCAGTTACATCGATCTGCCATGTGATTTGGATTAAAGTTGCTTTTGTGTGTGAGACGTGATTTGGTTTAAGTTTGTTCTGATTTCTGTTTGGCTGTTGTATATGGAGGAGAGGTGAGCCGATATGAGATAAGGCATTTCAGCTTAGCACTTGAGATGCTAAGTGAGAAGAAACGTGGCTTAATGTGAACATATGATGCAAAATACCTGTAGTAATTTTTTATAACCTGTAATATTGCTTTGATCATTCTATAGTATTAAATAGTTGCTAGAATGGCTATAGTGACAATGGTCTTGCGGTGTTATTAAAGGCTTAAGGAGCCAGAAAAAGGTCTTTTGACATCCCTAGTTGTTTTTGGAATTATGATATACTAACCTACCTAGATATTCTCCTATATCATCTCGTGCACTCAAGTTTTGTCCTTTGGCCCTTGGTTTGTATTATTCATTCATTTGGGATGTTAACCAATGATATTATAAAAATCAGGCGTAGATTTTGTTTGTATTTTGATTAGAAATGCCTGAGATGTCACCAATCATATCTCTTATCTTTCGGACCATTTTGTTTTGAAGCGTACAAGTTGCTTACTAGAAGAAGACTACGGTCAACGAGATAGCTTGTTAGATACGCAATTACACGTGAATTCTGCTGTATCGGAACACAAGTCTAATTCATATGCTTAATGCTCTTTCTCCCTATAGTTTTCTTTGTCACTATCTTTAACTAGGCCACTAAACGTGTCTCTTTGAAAAGGTAAATAGTCATATGACTTTACAAGATTTGATTTTGCTTGTTGGAGCATGGGGCATCAAAATCTGAACAAACAGTTGGAATGATGCAACTTGAAAGAATTGCTAATATATTCCTGCCAGAGAAAGAGCAAAACTACAAATTCTTGGCTCTCGACATTGTGAATACCTTGATCATCTTCCTTTTTCACTTTTTTTGTTTCGGCTAAGTTTACAGCCTCTTTGAGCAACCCAGAGTCTATTGGAAAAAAATATATGTTCCATTAGGCCAGATGAAAGAATGTCAACCACAATCTTTTAAACATGCATTTTTGATAACCGTGTTGTCCGGGTCAGTTTACGAGCACCTCGACTAATTCCACGCGGTATCTGCTACCTCTCATCATTGGATAACTCTAGTCCACCAAGATCTTCTAAACATGTATTTTACTTGAAGTTAGTTATAAACTGCTCAAGATTCTCTTGTACATGTTATATTTTGGAATGAGCACCGCAGGGTATCATACATCAGCCTCACGAGAATCTATATACCTCTGGGATTGGTGAGACTATTGTGTTAGAACATTCAAGCCCATATAGATTTCGCCCTTTGGAAGCTTATGGGCATTATGACCGTTGTAGGTGAAACTTGTTGAGGTCATGTGGCAGTGATACCTCATTTATACAACAGTTGTACACGTGTGGAGAGAAAAAAAAAAACCCGAGGGTAAAGAGTGGTTTGGCAGAGCTTTGGAAGTATTAGCTTCATTCGCTAGTCAAAAGGGTTATTTGCACTTGCCTTCCTGAGTGTGGTGCAGGGTGAGGTGGGTTTTGTAGCTTTGCTGACTGTCAACCTACTGGGTTTTTTTAGGAGCCCGAGCAGATATGATTTTATGGACCCGGTTTTGTTTTATCATCTTTAATTTGATAGATGGTAGAGAGAAATTAAAAGTTTTAGACTACCTTCAACTATTATCTTTCTTTCTTTGTTGAATACCTTCAGTGGCTATAATTGGCAGACGTGATTTGACTGGGTTTTGAGTTATTCTCGTGCACTCAGATCTAGCATTAACTCTCTCATGTTCTTTTCTGACATAGTGGGAGCTTAGTGCACCGGGCTGCCCTTTTTTGTCTTTTCTGAGAGAAGTCTGTTTATTTTCTTCTATTCTCATTTTAGAGCACCCTCATCTGCGTTTATCTTGCATTTTATCGTCTACACACTTAACGAGATAAGAAAATAAAGGATATTTGATTGTTTATTTTCTTTTTTCCTTCCTTCTTCATGTCCAGTCTTTTTTAATCATTGTGAAAGTTTTTGCTTCTCAATAGTGACAATGCTGCATTTGGCGGGGATATGTGGAGAGAATATGGCCATTAAAGGCTCATATGGGTTCTGGGATTTGAAGTTTAATTCTATGCAACTGCGCGTTTTTGATCCCTTCATACTTCGTGAACATTAGACTTCCGAACTTTGCATCTCAAATTTCTTATATGACTAATTTCTTCTTTCTTGGCCTGCAGATGTTTCATTTGATGCCAACACCGCAAGGAGGTTATTATGTGCTCAATGACATATTTCGTTTGAATTATGCATGAAGGTTGCTGGGTTGAATTGACTCTTCGTCATGTTTTCATGATTGATTTGTCCAAAACTGAACAAATTTACAGAATATCATATCATGATTGATTTGTCCAAAACTGAACAAATTTACAGAATATCATATCATGATTGATTTGTCCAAAACTGAACAAATTTACAGAATATCATATTCTAGGAGTTGAAAGACATCAACCTCTAAAAGACTAGTTCTTCTGTGTTGTGGGGCAAGTTGATAGATGGACTCGGTTATGCTTTTGAGTTTTATGAAATTTAATGAGCTCTACCTTGTTGCATTATGTCATTCACATAATTCAGCTCCTCTCTCTCTCTCTCTCTCTCTCTCTCTCTCTCTCTCTCTCTCTCACACACACACACACACACACACACTCTCTCTACCTTTCTCTCTTTACAATTTTTTTTGTTAGATGTTGCTTCCCTCTTCACACTTTTTGATTGGATCTTGCTTTTCTCCTTGTTCTTATTGGTACTTTAATCTGTGGGAGCTAGATGATTAGTAGATTTTGAAACATGAAAAGTGGTATTAGAACTTTTGATGCCTAAATTTGGTGGTCCATTACCACTAAAATAGTGGTATTGAATAGCCTTTTAAAAGGCTTTTCTGGGACTCGCATCGAGGTTCGTCCTGGGGAGGGCACTATCAAAACGCCTTGAGCCTCATGTGTGGGGCTTAGTTTTGTGAGGCTTACGCCCCCAAGTGACCGACTATACGCCCTAAACGCGCCTAACGCTCAACGCTCGGGACTCGCCCAACAGTTCTTATGTTAATCATGTGTTGAATTCACTAATTAGCACTGTTGACTTTCAAAATTCTTTAACAAATGAATGATTAGAGTTATTTTTATACTTAGAAATATGAAGATTGTGAATAACTCAAATAATGAATCATAGTATTGCAATTTACCAATTGAGAATATCGAGAGGGTGAATATCATTTGAATATTTCTTCCGAAGATAGATAACGAAAATTTATATCTTTACTTGATAGATCTTCATGTCTTAGTTCTATGTCTCTCAAAATTATTATATATTTATTATTTTACTATTAAAAAATAATTTTATATTTACTCATGAAGGAGTAATATTTTAAATTACAGTATGGATAAAATTTATTGAGTATTCACTTTTAAGGGGGAAAATATGTAGTTTGATAATATTTGATAAGAAATTATGATTTTTAATTGTTTGAAAGTTGAGACGCCGTAGTTTATTTATATTTTATAGTAACTTTAGTAGTATTGCATTATTTATACTTGTAAAACATGCTAGATATTTTATTTTATATGAGTTTGTTTAGTTCTTTTTAGTTTTCTTGAACTTTTAATGTGTCTTTTATATTTTTTTGTATTATAATACTGTATACCCTAAAATTTCGAGTAACAATTAAACTTATTTAGTGGTTTCAAGGATAAGTGATTTAATCTAATACTAATTGATAAACAAGGAATTAAATAGATAATTTGAATAGTAAAATAAATCGAACCGTGTTCTAGTAGTGGTTTCGACTTCGATTCAAGATGGTCTCGAGGTTGGGTAACAAGAATGATAAAGAACAGAAAATAAACAGTGGTGAGCAGTAGTAGATAGTAAGTGAAATAGAGAAAGCAGTGTATGTGTATATGTTTATCAATAAATCAATCCCCCTTACAAATGAATGGGGTCCCTCTTTTTATAGTAGAGGAATGCTAAATAAGGTACACTTCTAATAACAGAAACAAATTCCATGATTGGCGTCAATAACCGCTTGATTCGATCTGTTCCGGGATTTTTGCCGAGATCTTCGGTCGGTTGCTAATATCTCGCCATTCCGTTATTTTGCCTTACTCGAAGTCGGTCATGCACGGTCTCGATCTTCAGCGAGCACTTCGATCTTCATGCTCCATACTCTGCCATTGGGCTCGAGCCTGGTCTATTACGAGCTTACTCTCGAGGCAGCTCCTCGTGTCTATGAAATCGGACATGCCCGATTTCGACCGTATACAGATAGTCCTCGTGTTTCTTGGAATAAAATGATAAGAAACAGTTTGAGCCTTGATTTTTCAAAACCTCGATTATGACGTCGTCCTCATGACGTAAGTGACATATATGATCAAAGCGTCCCGTCAGTTCAGTTCCCCAAATCATTCATGCCTATCAGTTAGCGGTCGGCCACTAGCGCCACAGAACCGTCGCTGTGAGCCTATAAATACCCGCTCCTTCATTGAATCAAACTTTACTTTTGCTCTAATCAAACCTCTAAGTCTTCTCACTCTTTCGTCTCCTCCTTTTCGCCGTCTGTAGAGCCACATTCGTTAGCACCGAAACCTCCAACTTTTCATCTTCTATCGCTCTTCTTTACTTATACAAATGGCGAAAACCACAAAGACCGTACCGCAGAAGGAGAAAGCTTCCTGCTCCTCTTCTCGGCCGTCCGGCGGCAAGGCGCCGGTGGAACCGCTTCCCCACGAGTATGTTCTCGGCCAATGTACTCTAAAATCCGATTTCAAGGTCGAAAACCCTTCATCGATCCCGGGTCGATGTGAGCATGTGTCGATGTACATGTGCTCGATAACAAAGAGCCATCTCGAGATCGTGAAGAGGGACTGCATATGGGGTTCCGAGGTGGTGGTGCAAATTCTTGTTCCCGAAGAGAGCATCACCGCTTATGTCGAGGGGGTTCCTAAGTGTTTGCACTTACCCCTTCACATTGGGTCCCCTCGACCCAGTGATTATTGATCTCTGTAAAAGATATCAGGTCACCTTCGGCCAAATCCACCCCTCTCTATGGCGCATAGTAATCATGCTGCGCTTCTCTAGCAAGGCCGATGGGCTAGAGTTTACTCTAAATCACCTCATGCGGTTGTACCGGGCAACGAAGGCCTTGATCTCGAGCATCGATGAGGACAAGGATCGGGGTTGGATGAGCCGTTTTATACGGGTGAGGACCCGCGACATTATCCCGGAAGAGAAGATGTCGTTCCCTGAGGAGTGGAACTTCGACCGTAAGTGATCTTTTAAACTTTGTTCTTCGTACCTTCTTTGACTTTGCCTGATATCCCCTTTCGACATGCAACTATTCCTTGGATGCCTCAAGCGGTACTTGACCTCAAAGATTGGGTTCGGAAGTTAGCCTCAACTTTCACTTATGCCGAACGCGCATGGCGTGATTTGGCAAGGGGCAGATGGGAGGCCAAGAACCACGGTAAGGATCTCCTTTTTCACGTTCTGAAACACTTTTTATACTTCATTCATCACTAATTTCCTTTCATGCAGGCCTGATCAAGGATGCCATTTTGAGGCCTTCAAGTGGCGAGGAAGAAACCAAGTCCTCGGTTCCGAAGCCGGGGGAAGACAAGAAGAGGAAAACTACCTCGGAGTCCGAGGACCCCAAGCCGAAACCTCGAAGGATGAGGAGGAAAGTAATCGCTCTCACGATAGACTCGGTCCAAAAATTGAGAGATGAAGAAGAGGAAGAAGAGGAAAATGCCTCGGCACTGACAGTTCGACCTAGGAAAGCCGTCGAGGTCACCAAACATTCTGAGCCGACGGCGGCTACTAAAATCAAGCCTCGTGTCGAGGAGGATTCCAAAAAGAAATCGGGTGAGGATCCCGAATTGCCAGAGGTCGAGATCGTTTCTCGGCCATCTGCAACTACATCTGACGGGGCCGGTTAAGAGACCCCGAAGATCGATTAGGGAATCTCGAGCGACTTGCTTGGGACCATGACAACAAGTCACTTGCCTTCTCTTCCGACTTTTTCTGAGGAGGCACTAAGGGAAGCTCGAGATTTGAAGACCCCTGATATAGGCGGAGGCTCTAGTATAGGGGATCCCTTTCGGGATTGCTTTACTGGAGTCGATGACGCCTCTGATATTAGTGACACTTCTATTCTTTTAGAAGAGGCCCAACGTCTCTTATCTCAGGTAAGAATCAGTTTACTGCACTTTTTTTCTTTACTCTTTTTTTTTTCTTTCTAAATCTGACCTGTGTTTTCCTTTTTTGTATAGGCCTTCACCAAGTTTCGAGCTGACCTCAGCCAATGTGAAACCGAGTTCCAAAAGGTCCCGGAGGAGAGGAACGCTCTGAAGCTTCTTTGCGGCCAAAAAGACGAAACTATAAAGGACCTTCAAGCGGATTTGGCCATGGCTCGTGAGGAAGAGCCCGAGCTAGATAAGCAGGTGAGTATACTTTTGATAAAGTATGGACTCGACCCAACTGTGGAGGCTAATACTTCATTATCTCAGCTGCAACAAAAGGTTGAAAGGATCGAGCTGCTTCGGAGAGAAGTCGATCAGGTAAAGGCCGATTGTGATCGGTGGAAGGAGAATATGGATCGCCTGGCTGCGGAAAAAGAAACTACCTTGGCCAAAATGTCATCGGCCGAGGTTCAACTTTGGGGCATCAAATAGAAAAGTTCGACCCAAGCCAAGAGAATCAAGGAGCTTGAAACGAGGCTTGCTGAGGCCAAGGCGGAGATCGAGAAGACAAAGGTCATAGTGGACAAGTCCATTGCCATGTACCGGGCCGATGCTGAGGCTGCTGAAATGCAGCTAAGAGAGGCTTCTGACCGAGAGCAATGAATCATTGACTCGGCAAAGTGTCAATCCCGGAGGGAAACCCTCGAGGAAATCCATACTCGAGGTTTTGATCTCTCCGAGGAGATAGCCCTAGCCAAGGTGCTTGAAGCTGAAGCTAGGCAGCTTGCCTTCTTCGATGACGAAGACGATGATGAAGAAGGCAGTCGAGGCGGGTCCGATGAGGGGCCTGAAGGAGAAGTTGCTCCCGGAGAAGAGGTCGAAACCGGCCGTAGTTAGGACTTAGTTTCTCTTTTTGTAAGATCTTGATCGGTCTCTTGTACATAACCGATATATAATAGAAAAACTTCTTTTGAATGTCTTCTCAGTTTTATGTTCAAACGTGTTTTGTGCTTTTGGCTTGTGAAAATTTTGTTGTTGCAGCCTCTGTAATCGAGTGAACACTAATTCGAACTTAGAACAAACCCTTATATTTTTTTTAGACACGCAAGGGCGAGTCTCCGAGCTCAATAATATGTTCGAGATTTCGGATGGCTTGAACGATGTCATGACTGCACTATTTTTATAACTAAGTTCGAGTATGTTTCGAACTTAGAATAGAACAAACCCTTAGGTATTTTTTACCAAATAATGGGTAATTTTCGAACTTATAGTAACATACCCCTTAAGGTTTTATGGCGGATCCTGTAGCTAAATTCAAGTCAAATTTATTTGAACTCGGAATAGTGAAACCCTTAGGTCCGAGTTGAGTGAGAACAAAGTCT